TGTTTCATTTCAGGCCGAGGGGGCCCAGGACCTTCTCAGAGAGTGCCTAAGTCCGGACGTTCCAGCTCCTTGGATGGAGACCACCATGATGGATACCACAGAGATGAACCTTTTGGGGGCCCTCCAGGGAGTGGTACTCCTTCTAGAGGGGGCCGGAGTGGCAGTAACTGGGGTAGAGGGAGTAACATGAACTCTGGTCCACCAAGGCGAGGAGCTTCGAGGGGGGGTGGGAGGGGTCGGTAGAAGTTGGGGCTCAAAACCCCTAGGCCTCTCTGGACAGTATTTAAGAACTTGTGGACTTTCCGAGAGAAAGAAAAGGAGACCTGCACCACGTAGCCCTGAACTCGCTCTGGGGCAGCTGAATGCCAGGTGCCCCGAGTGAGGCCTGCAAGACGAAGAGCCTGCTGCTGGCTACCCAGAGGCGCTGGCCTTGTTTGGTCCTGTCCACCCTCACTGCCCGAAATCCCACATGGGTTTGTGAAGATAAAAGCTGGAATCTTTTTAAGTGTCATGAGACATGGAGCACCTCCACAAATTTAAGTTCATGTCCAATCGAAAATTTGTTTCTATATGTACAGTTGTCAGAGAAAAAACATTAAGTTGTTTTTGTATGAATACAGAATGTGATTTACGCAAGAATTAACAGAAAATAACTAATCGTCAAGTGCTTGCCTTAAGGAAACCTTTAGTTTCCATTGCCTCCAGTCTGCTGAGGGGTGTACCACTACTGCTTACATTTGTGAACATCCTTGATGGGAATCTCTAAGTCATCTAAATTAACTCATTTGTGAATTTTGTTTTTAAACAAATTCTTATCTAGCCATTCTGTCACACTTACTTTTGTAGCATAGTGAAAAATACTTCAAAACTATAATGTGGTTTGAAGTTAGATTCAAAGCCTTATTAGTTAGACCTGCTGTGGCAAATGGAAAATTATACACTGAAGAAAAAAAAAACTGGATGTCCAAGCAGAGGGTCTCTCTTGGCTGCATCTCCTAGTAATTACACCTTAGACTTGAGTTGCTTTTTTCTGATAAGGGGAACTTAACGTAAGCTAGAAATCATCTACACATACCTTTTGAATACTGTAAATCATTTCACAAATGGTTTTAAGTTGAAAAGGAATGGATCAAAATCTTTCTTAAACCTGTTCTGCAAAAATTTAAATAATGTCTTCCTCTTCCACACTAGCTATGTGGAAACACCAGTTTTTAAGGCAGAGGATTTTTCAATTAAAAGTAAGCCAGGAAGGTCTCATCTACAACAGATTCTTTTAGTTTTAAATGAATGGGACATTTGGCCCACTTTGAATTGGAAGCCAAAAGTTCAGTTTGAGATAACCCCAGGATATTTTCTATATTGACCCCTTACTTTGTTTTTATAAAAAGCTTTTTTTTTTCTTCAAAGGACATCCTGTGGTCACCCTCACTACTTTGACAACTTCAGTTGGGCATTGGAGAGAGGTTTATTTGACAAATTTAGTGGTGCTGGAAAGTGTCAGTAGTTGCTTAGGAAAGGGATATTGACTTAGTTGGAGTATATAAAAACTCCATTGGTTCTCCATTAATTTAAAAAATGGTAAAAAGCTAAGTTACTTCTGCAGATAAAATGTTCGCCACACATACACTGCTTTTTTTTAGGGTGTTAGAACCTAGAGGCTTCAAGAGATTTTCTCTTTACTTTGCAATTTAAAACATCCTATTTATCAGCACCTTGCTCTAAACACACCTTTAGGAGGCTCAAGATTGCTTTAGGTTTGTGGATATTCTTTATTTGCCCTCTACTGGTATAGCTTTAAAAGAAGTTGTAATCAAATTCTAAGAGGATAAAAAGGGATCCAGAGAGCAAAACCATAATAGACAGTTTATTGTTGTTCAGTTGCTAAGTTGTGTCTGACTCTACGATCCTGTGGACTGTAGCATATCAGGCTCCTCTGTCCTCCACTATCTCCCGGAATTTGCTCAATTTCATGTCCGTTGTGTCAATGATGCCATCCAACCATCTCATCCTGTCGCCCCTTTCTCCTCCCGCCCTCAGTCTTTCCCAGCATCACGGTCTTTTGCAGTACACTGGCTCTTCATATCACATGGCCAAAGTATTGGAGATTCAGCATTAGTTTTTCCAATGAATATTCAGGGTTGATTTCCTTTAGGACAGACTGGTTTAATCTTGCAGTCCAAGGGACTCTCAAGAGTCTTCTCCAGCACCACAACTCAAAAGCATTAATTCTTCAGCACTCAACTTTCTTTATGGTTCAACTCTCACATCCAGACATGACTACTGGAAAAACTATAGCTTTGACTATACAGACCTTTGCCAGCAAAGTGATGTCTGCTTTTTAATATACTGTCTAGGTTTGTCACAGCCTTCCTTCCAAGGAGCAAGTGTCTTTTTGGAGCCTAAGAAAATAAAATCTGTCACTGTTTCCAATTTTCCCCCATCTATTTGCCATGAAGTGATGGGACAGATGCCATGATGTTAATTTTTTGAATGTTGAGTTTAAGCCAGGTTTTTCATGCTCCTCTTTCAACCACATCAGGAAGCTCTTTAGCTCCTCTTCACTTTCTGCTATTGGAGTGGTATCATCTGCATATCTGAGGTTGTTGATATTTCTTTTGGCAATTTTGATTCCAACCTGTGATTCAACCAGTCTGACATTTCACATGATGCTACTCTGCATGAAAGTTAAATAATCAGGGTAACAGTATACAGCCTTAATGAACTCCTTTCTCAATTTTGAATCAGTCTGTTGAATCATGTCCACTTCTAACTGTTGCTTCTTGACCTGCATACAGGTTTCTCAGGAGACAGGTAAGGTGGTCTGGTAGTCCCATCTTTTTAAGAATTTTCCAGTTTGTTGTGATCCTCACAGTAAAGGCTTTAGCACAGTCAATGAAGCAGAAGTATGTTTTTCTGGAATTCCCTTGCTTTTTCTATGATCCAGTGGATGTTGGCAATTTGATCTCTGGTTCTTCTGCCTTTTCTACAGATTAGGCTCCTGTTTTTTTTTTTTTTTTCCTGAGACTCATGTGGTAAGAACTTTATCATAAGATTTTAAGGCTTTAACTTCAAAAACACTACCTCAGTAAGCAGATAACCAGGTCGCATTTTGAGAATGAATTCATTTAGAGAAAACGGAAAACTCAACATTATTTATTACATAATGTGTATATCTGCATTTTAAATCATCACTGTCAAATTACATGCAATATATTGTGCTTTGAATTTTATAAAAACAGATTTCCCAACAGTGAATTCTTGGGAAAATGCTGGAAAAACAATTTTAAAATAGCATCAATATAAAAATGGGCTGAACTCGGTAAAATCTTCAGCCTAAAATTTAGAACTAAAATACAGATTTAACTAGGGGGTAGGAAAAGCAGCCAATGGTACCTTTTCCAGTCAAAAAAATAAATCATTCCCCTAAAACCGTGGATTTGCTTTTACAAACACCGGGTAGTTGTGCCTCTTGAGGTAGGTAACCCTATTAACTGACAGTGGGGAGAAGCAGCCTTCTTTCAAAGTAAGGGGGATGGAAGTAACTCTACTTTAGCGTCCACCTCTTGGAGCAGGGCTTAGGACACTGATCAAGGCCTATAAATATAAATTTTGAGGCTGGAGCAAGAGGCAAGACTCTCTTGCCTGACAACGTGTTTAAGCAACGCTAAACCAGTCCCAGGAAACAATTACTTTCAAGTTGTTCTCAACCTTAGCGGAAAAAGGAATCATCCGGGAAGCTTAAAAAAAAAAAATACTAATGCCAATCTCCCCCCACCCAGCCCAGAGATTCCGACTGAACTGAGATTTGACTCAAGTAATCATGTGAACTGAGAACCACTGGCATAGAATTAAAACTTTAAAAATACAGTTTATTTCCTAGTTAATATGTAGCTAGTGACAAAACGTTGTCTTATTTATGGATTTAACCAGAATACTGAGCCCAGTCTTTCTGGCAATAAATTAAGGTAAGTCCTAGACCAAGGTGCTAAATCTAAAAATGAAGAAAAATTGGCAATTAGATATGAAAAGCACCTTACATTGCATTAAGATTGGTTAAAAAGCACATCATAAAATTAGGAATGAAAAACTAGACCTTGTAGAAATCCATGGTTTCCATCCAATAGGATAACTGGATGTGGAATTATCTTCCTGTCTCAGGCGTTTCCTTAGCTGAGTTATGTCCATGGATCTCTTCTGAGCATTTACGTGCACCTTACTGGCTACCATGCTTCTTGGTCCTTGGTTTCCTTATGTAATGCAGAACCAACTGTCCTTTAACCTTATAAGACATCATGTTAACAATTTCACTAAAATAAGAAAAAACTGAGATAAACCGTATTAACTAAAGCACTTGAAAAAATTCCAGTGGCTAAAGTCAGCATTTAATCTGCTAACTCCTAACTCTGATACACTCACGTTGAAGAACAAGGGAAAAAACTTCCAAGAGCGAAAGAAAGCAAATTTACTGGAACTAAGCTACTGTGATCTACCACTGGATTTTTTTAGGTGACAAAATGTGAAAGAGAAATCCGGGAAAATAAGGGCAGTCAATCAAAACGGAAAAGCTATTTTCTTTTTTTTTTTTTACTGGAAAATAAGGGCAGTCAATCAAAACGGAAAAGCTATTTTCTTTTTTTTTTTAACTGAGTGCAATCTAAGACCACGGTTAACGCAAAAGCAATTTATCACTAATGTTTCATAGCGTACCACCAATTCAAAACAAAATCTCACTCGGCACTTGCTGCCGAGTGTAGCACAAAATGCTGAAATCGAGGAGCTTCCCAAACTGCTCGTGTCTCAGTTTACAGTTCCCTGGCACAGTAAAGGAGCAGCTTCTACGCTGTGCTGTCTGGGAACGGGCGGGCGCAGTCCTTGGCGTGGCTGGCGCTGGACCTAGAGCCGGTTCCCCGTGTCCTCTCGATGGCGCATCCTGGGGACGGGCTCCGTGTGGTGTCCCGGGGCCGGATTCTGCGTCCTTCCGACGGCGCGAGCCGCGGGCCTCAAACGGGGAGCGCCTTGGCGAGGGCGGCGCCCGGGCCCAAGCGCCCGAGCGTGATGCGCAGAGCGGTGCCCGCGCCCCGCGGTAGCACGCCTAGCAACGCGGCCAGCAGTGCGGCCACTTGTGCGCAGGCGCCCAGGGCTGTGAGCAACGTACTCCGCAGACACAGCGCCGCGTATAGCGTCGCGCCTAGCGCGACCACGTAGAGCAGCGCGGGCCGGGAGGGCGCCTCCTCTCCGCGCAGCAGGCGTCCACACGCTGCGCCGCCTCGCAGGAGTGTGCCTCCCGCTAGTGCCAGCGCAGAACCCAGCGACCACAGCAGCGCGAACTTCCGGGCGCGTAGCAGCAGTACAGGCGCGTAGAGTGCGGCCAGGCCGAAGCAGAACGCAGCCAGCAGCAGGCACACGCCACTCGCCATCAGCCGCTGAGTGCGCGTCACGCTGGGCAGACACGTCTGTCCCGCCGCCTGCTCCGCGGGGCTCTGCGTCCACGTCCAGCGCAGGCCCGCGCGGCCCAACCACGCCCCGGCCCCCGCCGCGGGCTCCTTCGCCTCGCCCGCGGCGAGCAGCGGCTCCGCGGCCGCTGGGCCGCCCGCTTTCCCCTGCGCCAGATATTCCTGCAGCTGGCGGTTGAGGTCCGCCATGTTGGATGGAGGCTTCCGCGTAGTTGCGGGGGGCGGGGAGCTGCCGCCCACTTCCGGTCTACTCAGTCGGCTTTGGAAACTGCCCGGACCTCGGGCTTCTGTTAGTCCGCCGGGACGGAAGGGGCGGGGCTTCTGTTCCGCTGCCTTCGTGGTCTCGGCTGGCACTAGCGCTGGGACCGCGGCTGATCACTGCGTGTAGTTTCTGAATACCTTTCTTCGGTGTCCGCTGTAGGCGCTGACAGAGCTTGGGTGAATTATAACAGCATTAGAAGTTACGGGGCGTGAGCTCTTGTGGCTATGAATGAAAAAAACTTAAGTGTCTTGATTTCATGAATATCAGTATCGTGATTCTGTGCTGTAGTTTTCCAATATTTGGCCATTGGAGGAAAATGGAGAAAGGGTATACTGTCTTAAAACTATGCTGATCTATAATTTCACTTTTTAAGAAGCTCACGCTGCAGGTCATAAGTGGTATCTTTGGGAAAACTACAGAGCTGAAGCAGAGTTAACCGCCCACTCCCGCTGATGTGCTTCTCTTACCCGTTTCAGCATAGGTCTGGCAATATTATTGTTTCAACCCCAGGTCATGTATTTATATTTTTAGCCCACAGCGTCATGGTTCTGATACCCCTCTGGGTACAGGTTTCCTGATCCATCGGATAATTCTGAAGCGCTTGTTCACGTCCGGTTAATTTCTAATCTGTTCTGAGGTGGGTCCTACAGCCCTGCTCTTTTTCCAGAACCTCCGTGAAGTTCCTTGGCTTGTTGCGTAGGTCACAGCCATCTGGGTGTCTGCTAGGACTTCTGGTTTCGCTGCTCTGGTTGTCAGACATTCAGAGTAAGCTGCACGTCTTGTTTACATCTCTCACGTAGGTGCACTTTCTCTGAGTTCTCATCTGTCCCAGTTGTGACAGTTTATTTGTTCAAAGCAGTGCCAGCAGCTTGAGGAAAAGTTCTCTTTCATCTCCCTTTTCTTCGGACCTGGAAGGCTACATCAAAGGCACTCAAACGGATGTTGATCTGATTGTCACAGCTGTCTATTTGAGTGCAGTAAAGGTGTTTGAAAGCCTTTGTGGATGTAGAAGCCTTTGGCTGAAAAACCCATTTTTTAAGTGTCTATTGTGAATTTAAATATGATGGCATGGAAGTCTTTAGTGATGTAAAGTGCAACCTAGTTAAGTACTACAGCAGTGTATTCTTGTACACGCCTTTTATTTACTTGCCCCAGAAGCACTGGGGATGGGAGTCAGGGCTGAGGGCTGTAGGCTGTTTCTTCTACCGCTGACTTTGGAGGCACTGCAGGAGAAGAGAGGGTGTCTCCCTGTGTCTGTTTTTCTTTTTTTTTTTTGTCTGTACTAGCTGCCCTCACCTCCTTGGTACTGGCCTCCCCTGCACAACTCTAGCTGATGACTGGTGACCGTCCTTTGTCCTTTATGACAAGATAAGGATTAATTTCCTGCTGTTGTCGTGTCTGACTTTTCTGTTACTTGTGTAACCAGTTTTCCCATATAAAATTATTCCCTCTAATACTTTGTTTTCCTGGTTGGATCTTGACGCTGTTACCGAACAAGCAAACGTGGTTCCACTTGCCCAACGTGCGGCAAAGCCAGCCTGCTGCCCCCGTATTGTGGTGGAGGAAAGCATCCTGTTTGCTGTAGGGCGCCAAGTGCCGTGCGCACATGGCCTGAACTCTCCAGTGCCTTTCAGGGGTGCGTTTCTGAAACTGAGGGGGAGGGCCACAGGGCGCGTGGTCAGCTCATGCACACTTATCTGATTGGTTGACGGTGAGGTAACTGGGAGTCTCAACTGCCAACTTAAAAAAAGTGCAGCGTGTGAGAGTTGTGAAGGAAGTTTTATTTGGGGCAAAATGTGAGGACTGTAGCCTGGAAGACAGTATCTCAGATAGCCCTGAGAAACTATTCCAAAGAGGTAGGGTGAAGGTCAGTATATATGTGATTTTGCTGAAGGGGAAATATGGAAACAAGCACATATTTTCTTTTTTTTGCAAAAGGTTTCTGCTAGTCATGAGCAGTTGTCACCATTTGAATGCTTTTCTAGATATGAGAAGACACAAGAATTGGGCTCATAAAATTGGCTTCTGAAAATATCTGCCTGAAGACCTGTTCTGCCAGTTTTCCCCAGAGCATAGCCTGCCTCATTTGTGCTCTCCACCCTGAACTCCTTTCAGGGAGTGTTGGAAATCAGCAGCTGCAGCAGCAACTGGTTTAATCCTTGTAGAGGTAGATGGCAATTACCCATGGCAGGTGCCAGTTTGTAGTTGACAGGGCCACCTCATGGTAATAAATTTGATCATGCTTTGAAAGGCACTTTATGACCATTTTGTCCGCTGGTGCTAGAAAGGCTCATTCCTAGCTCTGGCAGAGATTTTGCTGAAAGGCCATTCAATATGCTTTTACTGGACTAGGTCTTATAAACAATAGCTAAAGGTGATCCTGGACTATCTGTCTGGCTAGTCTGTTATAGTCCAGGAAACAATTCCCTCTGTAGCATCTTCCTGTATCAAGAATCACACTATTAATAGTAATTGATCTCATATAGAACCGTATATTTGATCAGTTGCTTCCAGTTGCCTAGTCAGCATTATATTTGTTGTAAGCTCAGTCACACATTTGGTAACATAAGGAACAATAATCTTGTAAAACAGGAAAAATATAATATAGCTAATGCATTAATATGAGTTAGAAGTAAATATTTAAGCCAAGAACTTCCCATGCCAAGTCAGTTTTTGAAGAGATCATCAAGATGGGGAAGTGGGTCACTTAAGGCAGAAATGTGATTTCTCATATGATTCATTAAATGTGTTAAGAAGATTCATCAGGTATAGGATTCAGTTTGAGTTATGGCACAAGTGCCTCCCTGAGCTGCTGAAAGATGTCAAGTATCATGTGGTTTTCTAGTACCCATTTTTCTCATCATAGAGACATCAGAATTTGGTAGGCTAATAGCCTGGTTCAGTTCATTTCAGTTTGGTTCCTCAGTCGTGTCCGACTCTTTGCAACCCCATGGACTGCAGCACACCAGGCTTCCCTGTCCGTCACCAAACCTGGAGCTTGCTTAAAGTCATGTCTATCAAGTTGGTGATGGCATCCAACCATCTCATCCTCTTTCATCCCCTTCTCCTCCTGCCTTCAATCTTTCCCAGCATCCGGGTCTCGTCCAGTGAGTCAGTTTTTTGCATCAGGTGGCCAAAATATTGGAGTTTCAGTTTCAGCATCAGTCCTTCCAATGAATATTAAGGACTGATCTCCTTTAGGATGGACTGGTTGGATCTCCTTGCAGTCCAAGGGACTCTCAAGAGTCTTCTCCAGCACCACCATTCAAAAGCATCAGTTCTTCACCACTCAGCTTTCTTTATGGTTCAACTCTCACATCCATACATGACTACTGGAAAAACCATAGCTTTGACTAGACAGGCCTTTGTTTGTGAAGTAATGTCTCTTCTTTTTAATATGCTGTCTAGGTTGGTCATAGCTTTTCTTCCAAGGAGCAAGCGTCTTCTAATTTCATGGCTCTAGTCAACCATGTGTGGTGATTTTGGAGCCCAAAAAAATAAAGTCTGTCACAGTTTCCATTGTTTTCCCCATTTATTTGCCATGAAGTGATGCGACTGGATACCATGATCTTAGTTTTCTGAATGTTGAGCTTTAAGCCAACTTTTTCACTCTCCTCTTTTACTTTCATCAAGAGGCTCTTCAGTTCTTCGCTTTCTGCCATAAGGGTGGCATCATCTGCATATCTGAGGTTACTGATATTCCTCCCGGCAATCTTGATTCCAGCTTGTGCTTCATCCAGCCCAGCGTTTCTTATGATGTATTCTGCATATAAGTTAAATAAGCAGGGTGACAATATGCAGCCTTGACGTACTCCTTTCCTGGTTTGGAACCAGTCTGTTGGTCCATGTCCAGTTCTAACACTTGGTTCTTGACCTACCTACAGATTTCTCAAGAGGCAGATCAGGTGGTCTGGTATTCCCATCTCTTTCAGAATTTTCCACAGTTTATTGTGATCCACACAATCAAAGGCTTTGGTGTAGTCAATAAAACAGAAATAGATATTTTTCTGGAACTCTCTTGCTTTTTCTATGATCCAGTGGATGTTGGCAATTTGATCTTTGGTTCCTCTGCCTTTTCTAAAACCAGCTTGAACATCTGGAAGTTCACGGTTCACGTATTGCTGAAGCCTGGCTTGGAGAATTTTGAGCATTCCTTTACTAGCGTGTGAGATGAGTGCAATTGTGCGGTAGTTTGAGCATTCTTTGCGGTTGCCTTTCTTAGGGATTGGAATGAAAACTGACCTTTTCCAGTCCTGTGGCCACTGCTGAGTTTTCCAAATTTGCTGGCATATTGAGTGCAGCACTTTCACAGCATCATCTTTGAGGATTTGAAATAGCTCAACTGGAATTCCATCTCCTCCACTAGCTTTGTAGTGATGCTTCCTAAGGCCCACTTGACTTCACATTCCAGGATGTCTGGCTCTAGGTGAGTGATCACACCATCATGATTATCTGGGTCGTGAAGATCTTTTTTGTACAGTTCTGTGTATTTTTGCCAGCTCTTCTTAATATCTTCTGCTTCAGTTAGGTCCATAGCATTTCTGTCCTTTATTGAGCCCATCTTTGCATGAAATATTCCCTTGGTATCTCTAATTTTCTTTAAGAGATCTCTAGTCTTTCATATTCTATTGTTTTCCTCTTGCAAAAGTATAATTTACCAAATTACTGTAAGTCATAATTAAAGGGGAAGGTTTTCCTTACACTTGGAAAACACAGATTCCAGCCTGTAATTTTTCAGATAGAAACCATAAAAATTATAACCCTATTCACCAGTTCACTCAGTGCTTTTGTTAACTTTTTATGAAGCCATCAGATTTTCACTGAAACTCTTTAATTTCTTATGAAGTTCAGCATTATGGTCTGAAAGTCAGAAGCTTTTATTTATCCAAAAACCCTTTCTATAAATGTTCTTGAGGAGGAAGCATTTTTGCAGAGGCAGTAGAATAAAACCATAACTGTCTATGACAGAAGATTTAAGACATGTTTAAACTCTGATTACAATGCAGTCCAATTGACTAAATTGGTTACTGTTGTAACATACACCACTTAAAGATAGTAACTAGATTTATAACTATTTTATAGGCCACATCAGAATTTGGGAATTTATATAATTTCTAGAATACCTATATTAATATTCACCATACACTGTAAGATTTATTAAGCATTTGACAATGCTTCCTATGTAATTTAACATACTAAATGAAACTGTTTATATATCTCTTTGGGATGTGTGAGGGGCCCTTTGAAGCATCCTAAAGTTAGCTAGAGATCAAAGGACTTCATTTAACTTTGATTTAGAAAGTTTTGTCAAAAAAATAAAACTATATCAAAAGGGTTTAGAACTCTCAGTCAGATAGGATCATAGTTCACTGTGAAACAGTAGTTATTCACTTAGCCAAAGTATTAATAACAATAAAAGACTTCAAAGGCAAATACAGAACAAATCACTTAAAAGGTAAAGAAGCTTAAAATCTATTATCCAAGGCAGTTCAACATCTTAAGAAGACTTGTCCTCTTAACGAGAGAAAAGCTAAGCCAAATTCAAGTTTAGCACCCACTTTTAAAATTTATTTACTTAGATGAATTTATACCTTAGTCCTGACCATACACAGAACTCTTTGTGCGGAGTCCACATTCCACAAAGCTTTTTTATCACTTTCTGTATCTATCACTTTATTTTTCCATTCAGAAACAGCCAGCTCTAAGTCAGACCTACTTATTTGTTCCTTAATAAAATGCAATTTCATTCCTCATGCCTTCTTTACTGAAAATATACTGAAAGTATACTTTGCTATTGTATACAAAAAATATTTTTTCTATTAGCTTTAATTACATTTAAAAATTAGAATCCTCAGGGTTTTTTTTCTTCTTTAGATTGGACTATAATTCCTTTAAAATGTTGTGTTAGTTTCTGCTGTACAATGAAGCTAATTACTGTATTGATTTATATTACCTCTTAGACCTCCTCCCACCACACCCCTATTCCAGCTACTTAGGTCATCACAGACCACTGAGCTGAGCTTCGTGGGCGTTATAGCAGGTTCATGCTAGCTAGTTTACTCATGGTAGTGTATATATGTCAATCCCCATCTCTCAATTTGTCCCACCCTCCTCTTCCTCCTACCCCATGTCCATTCTGTATGTCTGTGTCTCTGTTCTTGCCATGAAAAAAGGTTGAACTGTATCATTTTTCTAGATTCCACATATATGCATTAATATATGATATTTGGTTTTTTGTCTTCACTCTGTGACAGACTCTAGGTCCATCCACATCTATACAAATGACTCTTATTTTGTTTCTTTCAGTGTCTTGAGTAATACTCCATTGTATATATGTACCACATCTTTATCTATGCATCTGTCATTGGACATCTAGGTTGCTTCCATGTCCTGGCTATTGTAAACAGTGCTACAATGAACGGGGGTGGGGGTGGTACATGTGTCCTTTTGAATTGTGGTTTTCTCAGGGTATATGCCCAGTAGTGGGATTGCTGAGTCTTATGGTAGAATCCTCAGCTCTTAAAACCTCAGTTTCTTGTGAAAACTAAGAAGTAAGCAATTATGAACTGATATTTATATCAGCATTCTGTAGTTTGGGGAACATAAATACCAGTGATAATGTCTAAACACATTTGCTTTCTTATAAAGAACATGGCACCAGACATACTCATTAATAGTCCTAAATACTTTTTGTTTTTATGTAAAAGGAAGCCAGTGTTCAGTAATCAATGTTTCAGTATCTTTTATTTGGAAATGATATAAGCTTCTATCGGTCGTTAAGCTATTCAGTAAGCTTCCATCAGTTAATTTATTTTAGCACATCTCTAGAATTTCAAGTTACCAGAATCTAGAAAGACTGTTTTAGATAAACATTTCTAAAGCATAATTATTCTTAATAGAGTATCTAAAAGCTCTTATCTCACATTTTATTTCTTTAAAAGTTTCTTCACATCAAGTTACATTCTTTGCTGACAAATTTGCTATGGATATTACAGGATTCTATTTAACTTAAATCTAGGTGCAGTAACAGTGCTATACTTAATGTTGGTGACTCTAAAGTCATGTCTGTATTCCAGGTATTAATTTAATGCTGGATATTTCCCAGTTTATGTGAACTTGAAATTAACTGTGGCCAGTTACTTCCTCTGTTATTTTTTTTTATAATTTCTATAAGCCTTTAATTTCCTTTAATCCAGTTAAATAGAGCTCAGTTGTGAATTAATTTGGTAATCCCATACAGAGGTAAAAACAAAGATAACGCATAGGTAAACATATAGACAAACACAAGGAGAGATCTCATAGCTTCATTTTCGAAAGTTAGTTGTGAATCACATATCACAATGTAAAACTCACTAGCTGTAAATAACATTTGGAGTATGTTTTTCAACCCAAGAAAGCCCACGTGCAGCAACAAAGACCCAGAGCAGCCAAAAGTAAATGAATAAATAAACATTTTTTTTAAAGGAAGGAAAAGGGTTATCTCTGAAAATTATGAACCTTCAGTTGCACCAATTAAGTACACAATGTCAGTGGAAGGTTAACCAACTTCTGTTTAATTCCCAAAGGGTAGGGAAAGCTAGCTTGAAGGAAAAAAACTTAAGAATTCTGACCCTGAGGAAACAATTCCTACCAGGAAAACTTGATTTTCTCTTCCTGTGCCTTGAGACCAGAACTCTTACAAAGATTTTTTTATGTCTCTCCCCGCCAGTCTCAGGAATTAGAGATGATCTAGATAGGTGATCCTCAGAGTTCTGAGATCCAATAGCTCTGAGAAACTATTCCCGGGCTGTAGTCCTTTTTTTGCCCCAAATAAAACTTAAAACTCTCACTGTGTGTGTGTGTGTGTGTGTGTGTGTGTTTTGTTGTTGTTCTTATGTCGGTACCGTCAGCAGCCTTCTGGTTCCTACTGGTTTGGGGTTTTCTTGGTGGTGATGAGCATGCAGCTGACTTCCTCCTCCTGGTGGGGGTCTTACTGACTGCAAAACAACTCAAGGATAATGGCTCAGGGTATTATCTACAGCCCTTGAGGAACAGCTAAAGGTTCTCAACCTTTTTAATTGTTAAACTTACTATTTTGTCTTGCTTGATTCCTTTCCTTTGTTTCTGCATTTTCTCATTTCTCTGATTATATTTGCTCTTTGGAACTTGGGGAATACCTGGAAGGCTGAAGCTTTTCTACAAACAAGAGCTGGGAGACATGGGGAGGTCTGTTCCAGGAAAGATCTTGCTTGGTTTCAGTATGCTTTTTCAAAATACATTGCAATTTGTTATCTCACTTGTGTCAATATAAATAAAGGGATAAATTGAGGCAAGCTCAAATTACTAGAAGTTGAACTTATTTAGGAACAGCAGAGGAATTGCATTTGGGGAAAATCAAACTAGCAGTTACAAGGGAGTCTGTTGTATGTTTGGGCTGTATTTATGGGCAAGGAGTGCATAGGGCAGGGAGTCTAGCCAGAATCCAGCAATAAGTTCACTGGCTTGAAAATGGGGAGAGATTCTTGGTGAATGTTCATTTCTGGAGCCACTAGCCACATGTGGCTGTGAACAGCCTGACAGGTGGCTGGTGAGATAGAAGAACCTCATTTTAAATTTTAATTAATTCATTATTTGTAATGAATTGCATTTATAATACACTAAAATTTACACATATATTATCATACATAATATTTAAAATTAATTTATAACATTATATATTGTGTTCATGAGAGCCATGTGTGGCCAATGGCTTCTATATTGGAATGCTTGGAGCATGTTAGAAACATGGGTATTTGGTTAGCATCGTGATAGGGAGGTTCTTCCCAGGTGGTGCTAGTAGTAAGGAGATGTGGGTTTGATCCCTGGATCAGGAAGACCGCCTGGATGAGGGCATGGTAACGCACTGCAGTATTCTTATCTGGAGAATCCCATGGACAGAGCAGCATGGCGGACTGTAGTCCATAGGGTCCCAAAGAGACACGACTGAAGTGACTTAGCACACACACAGCACTTGTGTGTGTGTACATGCGCAGGGGACACCGGTGGTGCCTGTGGGGTCAGGCATTGATAAGAGTGCAGGTGTCTTGGCTGGGTTGGCTGATCCTCTCCGGGGGGCTCTGGCGGAGCAGTCTGACCTGAGGACACCGTGGTTTCTCAGCTCAGCTCTGCAGACCTCACTGCTGCTCCAGCACAGGGGCTGCCCGAGTCGGGGTCCTTTCCTTGGGCTGTCTCCTCCAGCTTCCTGGCAGTCAGGCAGACTTACACAGGAGCTCCTCATGCGTCATGAGGGCCCATCGTAGGGTGTCTCACTGTGGAGCAGGGCTCTGTACGTCCAGCTTGCTTAACCTGAGACACACATCCCTGTGCTGCTTCCTTGGGCACTGCTGCCTTTCTGTGGCCACACCGTGCCAAATTCTTGTTGTTAAAAGATTCATCAGGACCTCTTTCTTGTCCTTCGTAGATTGGTCTGACTGCAGTCCAGCAGAGGGCTCACTTCCCCCACCTACTGATCCAAAAACTAGACCTTGGCTCATTTCTCACTCAGGACCCCAGGGTGAAGTGGGGGCTGGTTCCCTGGAAGGGGCCACAGCCCTCCCCCTGCCTCAGACCCGGTAGGTGCAGGGGAAGCAGAGTGATCTGTGTCGGGGCCTGAGAGCATGGGGTGCCAGGGACCAAGAATGTCACCCCCACTGACAGGATGAGGGGTAGCCTGGCTGGGACAAGCCCGGGGCCCAGAGGTGGAGGAGGTGTGGCCCAGCCAGGAGCAGAGGAACGCCCAGTGACTGGAGCAAGGGGCCAGGGGAGGGTGCACTCTGCAGGGCCTCAGGAGTCTTCCCAGGAAAGCGGCTCATGGAAGGGGTGTTTGTGTGTGTTCTAGGATTTTCTAAGGTGACTGCTTTGATGTGTGAATGTGTGACTTTAGGGCAGTTGACTCAGTTTGTATGAGGAGGTGTGCTCCCGTGTGTCCCGGGCCTCGCCCCGTGCTCCCGTGTGTCCCAGGCCTCGCCTCGTGCTCCCGTCTGCCGCGGGCCTCGCCCCGTGCTCCCGTGTGTCCTGGGCCTCGCCCCGTGCTCCCGTCTGCCGCGGGCCTCGCCCCGTGCTCCCGTCTGCCGCGGGCCTCGCCCCGTGCTCCCGTGTGTCCCAGGCCTCGCCCCATCCTCCGTGTGTCCCGGGCCTCGCCCGTGCTCCTGTGTGTCCCGGGCCTCGCCCCGTCCTCCCGTGTGTCCTGGGCCTCGCCCCGTGCTCCTGTCTTTCCGGGGCCTCGCCCCGTGCTCCTGTCTTTCCGGGGCCTCGCCCGTGCTCCTGTCTGTCCGGGGCCTCGCCCTGTCCTCCCGTGTGTCCGGGGCCTCGCCCCGTGCTCCCGTGTGTCCGGGGCCTCGCCCATGCTCCTGTCTGTCCGGGGCCTCGCCCCGTGCTCCTGTGTGTCCGGGGCCTCGCCCCGTCCTCCTGTGTGTCCTGGGCCTCGCCCGTCCTCCTGTGTGTCCGGGGCCTCGCCCCGTCCTCCCGTGTGTCCCGGGCCTCGCCCGTGCTCCCGTGTGTCCTGGGCCTCGCCCCGTGCTCCCGTCTGCCGCGGGCCTCGCCCCGTGCTCCCGTGTGTCCGGGGCCTCGCCCCGTGCTCCCGTGTGTCCCGGGCCTCGCCCCGTCCTCCCGTGTGTCCCGGGCCTCGCCCCGTCCTCCCGTGTGTCCCGGGCCTCGCCCGTGCTCCCGTGTGTCCCGGGCCTCGCCCCATCCTCTCGTGTGTCCCGGGCCTCGCCCTGTCCTCCCGTGTGTCCCGGGCCTCGCCCGTGCTCCCGTGTGTCCCGGGCCTCGCCCCGTCCTCTCGTGTGTCCCGGGCCTCGCTCCGTCCTCTCGTGTGTCCCGGGCCTCGCCCTGTCCTCCCGTGTGTCCCGGGCCTCGCCTGTGCTCCCATGTGTCCCGGGCCTCGCCCCGTCCTCCCGTGTGTCCCGGGCCTCGCCTGTGCTCCCGTGTGTCCCGGGCCTCGCCCCGTCCTCCCGTGTGTCCCGGGCCTCGCCCCGTGCTCCCGTGTGTCCCGGGCCTCGCCCCGTCCTCCCGTGTGTCCCGGGCCTCGCCCCGTGCTCCCGTGTGTCCGGGGCCTTGCCCCGTCCTCCTGTGTGTCCTGGGCCTCGCCCGTCCTCCCGTGTGTCCGGGGCCTCGCCCCATCCTCCCGTGTGTCCTGGGCCTCGCCCGTCCTCCCGTGTGTCCGGGGCCTCGCCCCGTGCTCTCTCTGTCCCGGGACCCATGCTGTGCTCTCGTCTGTCTCAGGACTTGTCCTGTGCTCTCCCTAAGTCTCTTCTGGTACACCAGTCACATTATTGTCTAATAGTCTGTGAAATCCTGATGATTTCCTTGAACTTAAGTGGAAAGAAGAAATAAGCACCTACCAATTATTTACTTATTTTGAAATATTTTAAAAAATGCTATTTATTTTTGGCTGTGCTGGGTCTTCATTGCTGTGCAGGCTTTTCTCAAGTTGTGGCAAGCAGGGGATACTCTCTGGTTGTAGTGTGCAGGCTTCTCATTGCGGTGGCTTCTCTTGTTGTAGAGCATGGGCTCTAGGGTGTGCAGGCTTCAGTAGTTGCAGCACGTGGACGCAGTAGTTGTGGCTCGTGGGGTCTGGAGCACAGTCTCAAAGTGGCATAGTGACCTAGTTGCTCCAAAGCATGTGGGATCCTCCTGGATTGGGAATCAAACCCATGTTTCCTGCACTAGCAGGCAGATTCTTTTTTTAAATTCATTTTAATTGGAAGCTAATTACTTTACAATATTGTAGTGGTTTTTGCCATACATTGACATGAATCAGCCATGGGTGTACAGGTGTTCCCCATCCTGAACCCCCTCCCACCTCCCTCCCCATCCCATCCCTCTGGGTCTTCCCAGTGCAGCAGCCCTGAGCACCTTGTCTCATGCATTGAACCTGGACTGGCGATCCATTTCACATATGATAATACACATGTTTCAATGCTATTCTCTCAAATCATCCCACTCTCGCCTTCTCCCACAGAGTCCAAAAGATCTGTTCTTTACATCTGTGTCTCTTTTGCTGTCTCGCATACAGGGTCATTGTTACCATCTTTCTAAATTCCATATATATGTGTTAATATACTGTATTGGTGTTTTTATTTCTGGCTTACTTCACTCTGTATAATAGGCTCCAGTTTCATCCACCTCATTAGAACTGATTCAAATGCATTCTTTTTAATGGCTGAGTAATATTCCATGGTGTATATGTACCACTGCTTTCTTATCCATTCATCTGCCGATGGACGTCTAGGTTGCTTCCATGTCCTAGCTTGTAAACAGTGCTGCGATGAACATTGGGGTGCACGTGTCTCTTTCAGTTCTGGTTTCCCTGGTGTGTTTGCCCATCAGTGGGATTGCTGGGTCGTATGGCAGTTCTATTTCCAGTTTTTTAAGGCACACTGTTCTCCATAGTGGCTGTACTAGTTTGCATTCCCACCAAGAGCATAAGAGGGTTCCCTTTTCTCCACACCTTCTCCAGCATTTATTGTTTGTAGACTTTTTGATAGCAGCTATTCTGACTGGTGTGAGTTGGTACCTCATTGAGGTTTTGATTTGCATTTCTCTGATAATGAGTGATGTTGAGCATCTCTTCATGAGTTTGTTAGCCATCTGTATGTCTTCTTTGGAGAAATGTCTTTAATTCTTTGGCCCATTTTTTGATTGGGTCACTTATTTTTCTGGAATTGAGCTGCATGAGCTGCTTGTATATTTTTGAGATTAATTCTTTGTCATTTGCTTCATTTGCTATTATTTTCTCCCATTCTGAAGGCTGTCTTTTCACCTTGCTTATAGTTTCCTTTGTTGTGCAAAAGCTTTTAAGTTTAATTAGGTCCCATTCGTTTATTTTTGCTTTTATTTTCATTACTCTGGGAGGTGGGTCATAGAGGATCCTGGCAGGCAGATTATTTACTACTGAGCCAAAAGGGAAGTCAGCTTTAAAAATGTTTGAGTGTTGTCTTGGCCCTGTGCTCCTGGAAGCAGTGATGGTTGAGAAATCCCCAGGTCTCACATCCAGTCTTTATGTCTGAGACACAGACCCCTCATCCCCATGACCCCTCCTCCACCATTTGCCTCTGTAATACCCCAGACCCTTTCGTCTTTGAGGCATTCCTCATTAATGAACAGTCACCCCAGCACAACAGCCCAAGTAAGACCACCTCCTTAGATGTCAGTGCATTTTGTCTTTGACAGTTGTGGTGCCATGACTTGTTTAGGAGCCAGGCCTGCGCTTGGATCCCTGCTCCTCCACCCTGGTGAGGAGCCTCTTCACTTCTGTCCATAGATCTGGGACCAACGTGCACCTGGCTTCGCCTGTGCTCTAAACTGTGTCCATCCCCAGCACAGGGAGGGTTCCATTATGATTCTTTTTCAGCGCTTGCCTGGTACCTGGTGCTGGATTTGTTAGATTTCCTGGTCTGACCATTTGGGATATAGAGATCTTGTCTCTGTTGGGTGAAAGGAGCAGGGAGTCTAGTTTGTTACTCTTTCCTGTTCATCTGCTTTGAGCTTAGGAATTAAAGTTTTATATCTCCTGGGAAGAGAACAGTGCTTTGGTGTGGACTGGTGGTCTCTGCTAATCTGTAATGACTGGTGTCCAGGCCTGAGATGGCAGAGTGGCAGCTCTAAGCTCTCGGTCTGTGTCTGTCATTCAGAAAGGCTGTGAATTCTCATTGTGTGTAATGTTTTCCTGTCTGGGTGGTATTGCCAAGTTATATTATGAAATTGCTTAAATTCAAGGAGCTCTAGTTTGATTGACTTAGAAATAAATAAGCACCTTATAGATGCAATATTCTTAAAATTCCCAGAAGTTAAGGAAACTGAATTTCTAATACTTTCAAAGAACGGAATGCATTCTTGCAGAAATTAACTCAAATGTTTTAAGAATAAGTTCACACTATTTAGGCAATGAGACTAGTTTAATATTTTTGGTTTAATAAAAACAGCTATGTCTTCTCTGACCATTAAGTGCTTACATTTTTATTCTACTTGGGTATATATTTCTTACATTTATATAAGTTTATTGATCAAATAAGCTAGCATTACTTATGTTAACTGTTTAAGATTATAAAACACATGTTTGTATTTAACCAAATCATTATACTGACAAACTTTATTTCAACAGTAATTTTTTTTTTTGAAGATAATTGCCAAGATGTTTGGGTAACTTAAATCCTTAGACTTAGAGTATATTGTAATAGTTAAGCAAAAATACCTAGATCATCACTTAATAAGAGAATGCTGAAACATTGTTACTAAGCATAATTTAAATTTTGTACTCCTTTCATCCTTCCTTCTCTCACAGCTTGCGGGACCTTAGGTCCCTGAGCAGGGACTGAACCTGGACCCCAACAGAGAAAGAGCTGTGTCAACCACGGGAGTGAGAGGGAATCGTCTAGATCTTACATTATTTTGCTTCTTATTTCTGTTTGCTGCAGGGGGCTGTGTCTTTGTGTCTGCAGTGAGTGTGCTGACACCCACTCGCCTCCCACTGTGTGAGGTGTGAGGCCGTGCCCACCTGTCCTGCGTCTCCTCGTGGGCTCTGCTAGTCTGTGACAGCTGGTGTGCCTCAGACAGTGCCCAGCGGTCCTCCCTGCTACCTCTGAGTTGAACCTGGTTGCTTTGGTAAAAGTTATCACTAATATTAGTTTAGATCAAGTGGGAGAAACTCAACTGAGTACATACATCTATTTTTCAAGGAAAACAGTAGTTTTATCCTAAAGAAGTATTTGTTTGTTGTTTTTTAGTCTCTATCCCCTTTCTGCACTCTTCAAGCTTATTGAGGACCCCAAAACCTTTCTCTGTGCTTGTAACTACTGACATTTCCTGTTTTGGAAATTGAAAAAACTTTGACATGCTTATTATTCATTTGACAATAGCAACAGTGAACATGCTGCATATTAATGATATCTTAGTGATATTATGAAATTAGTTCTGACCATGTGAACACCCAGTGTTGTGAAAGTCCACCCCCTAAAATACATATGTTGAAATCCTGCCTTCTAGAGATGATGGTGTTAGCAGGTAGGGCTTTTGGGAGGAGGTTTTGGAGAAGGAAATGGCAACCCACTCCAGTATTCTTGCCTGGAGAATCCCATGGACGGAGGAGCCTGGTGGACTACAGTCCACGGGGTCGCAAAGAGTTGGACATGACTAAGTGGCTTAACTACTAACTACTAACTCATGAAAAGGATTAGTGCTCCTATAAAAGGGACTCCAGGGACCTACCTCTTGGTTCAGGGGCTAAGACTCTGCACTCCCAGTGCAGGGGACCTGGGTAAGATGCCTGGTCATAGAACTGGATCCTGCATGCTGCAACTAAAGATCCTGTGTGCTGCAACTAAGACCCAGTGGGGTCAAATAAATAAATATTTGTTTGAAAAATGAGTCTCAAGGGATCTCCCTGCCCCCTTCATTTATGTACATATATAAGGAGAAGTCTGCTGCCTGGAAAAGGGTCCTCATCCCACCACACTGGCACTTAAATCTTGGATTTCCAGCCTCTAGAACTGTGAGAAATACATTCCTGTTGTTTGTAAGTGATGTAGTCTGTGGTATTTTGTTATAGCAGCCTGAATGGGCTAGGACATCTTGAGATTGGTCTAGAGTATAGTGCCCGTTTGTCCCAGATTATCAGAGTTCAATGAAAGAAAAAGTTTGGAAATGAATTTTATTTGCCTTGATTTATAATACCAGAATTTGAAAAGTTAAAATTTTAGCTTTGCTCAATTTCATGGGCTTGTTTCCTTGGTTTACTGTTGATTACCTTCACATAAAACTTAAAGGATCACTTATTCTGTTATTTAATCTATCTAAACAACAAAAATTCTGTATCTTACCAGAATAGCCTTCTTTAGTTTATATTGATTTATCATGTCTTTGACTAATTAGAAGCCAAAGTTCCTCATTTAAGAATGGGTTAAGATTTTTTGCAGGGCTTCCCAGGTGACTCAGTGGTGAAGAATTCACCTGCCAAGGCAGGAGACACAAGAGATACAGATTCTCTCCCTGGGTCAGAAGGATCCCCTGGAGGGGGACATGGCAACCCTCTCCAGTATTCTTGTCTAGAAAATCCCATGGACAGAGGAATCTGGCGGACTGTACAGTCCATGGGGTCACAAAGTGTCGAGACACGACTTAACAACTGAGCATGAGAAAGATTCTTTGCAATCATTGTCATCTATGTTTATTTTTTTGTCTTATTGTCACTTTGAAATGAATGGCCAAACATTGGTTTCTCAGGCACCCATGATTTGATTCCTATTGTAAGTGTTCAAATCTGACAGCTTTGATTTTTATGTTCTCAATATTGAATCCTAAATGTATAATGAAATAAAAATTAGAAAATTCCAAGATCTCACTGAGAATGTTGTATTTGAGAATGACATTCCTTCAAGATATCTTTTATACCTAAAATTGTCTTTGAATTTCTTCAAGGATACCTGGAAAATCACAAATCATTTCTTCTTGTTTATTCTTCTTTGGAAATAGGGTTAATAATGTGTATAATTATTTTATCTAAGTGGGGGGGTGGTGTTCACTTAATTATCTTGTTTTGGATGCTGCAGAAATTACCAGATTTCCTTGTCAGTTGCACTGTTCTGGTAATGAACTCTCATCCAATCTTTAACTTCTGAAAATTATCTGATGTATAAGGAACTACTTCCTCTGTTCTTCTAAGTTATCTATAACTCACAACAATATAGTGGATTATTATTTAATAAACAGAAACATGCAATTTATAAAATGATAATCTTATTCTTCCTACCTGACCCCTCCAGAATTCAGAAACTTACTGAGTTCTCTTATTTTAATAGCAATGTGAGTTATTATAAATTCAATAGGATTCTGTCTTCCTCATATAATATATCTGGAAATACTGGTTATAGAACCTAAGTGTTGCTTGAAATATTATGTTTGAGAATGATGATCATTTAATCAGATATGACCAGACACTTTTAAGAAGCTAAGGTTGACTTTATGGAACCAATACTTACAAAACCTTTGAAACACCAGCCTGGTTCCTGGCTTACAGGTCCCCTAGCTTTACAAGTGAGTGAGGAAGGTCACTTTCTGGAAGCCTCAGAAAACTTAAGATATTTTGGGAGCCTTGAGAAGAGAGGAATTCATCTAAGTCTATAGGTACTGCAGGTGAGGTGGCAAATTCTTCACTTGGTTTTCTAGCCTCAAGAGGCTTTTAAAAGTGCAATCCTGGTGGTACAGTGGATAAGAATCCAGCTGCTAATTCAGGGGACACAAGTTCGATCTCTGGTCCTTGAAGATTACACAAAGGACGCAGAACAACTGAAACCCATGCACCACAACTACTGAGGTCATGCTCTAGAGCCTGCAAGCAACTACTGAGCACACGTGCTGCATCTGCTGAAGCCCATGTACCTACAGCCTGTGCTTCAGAACAAGAGAAGCCACCTCAGTGAGAAGCCATGCATCAAAAGCCTCTGCTCACCACAACTAGAGAAGGCCTGAAAAGTGTAACCTGAGATTCTTTATGAAAACTTAACAGTAAACTTAGGAAGGCTATGGAAGTCTTGCTGCACCTGTGAAAACAGCAGGCCAGATCTAATAAGACTAGTCTTATTTCACGGGCAAAATCAGTCTATCTTTGAAATTGGAGACTGAATG